CCCCTTTCCCGCCCCAAGGGGGGGTTCCCCCGGGGGGTTTTTTTTTTCCCCGTCCCTTTTTTTTTTTTTTTTTGGCCCCCCCCCCCCCCTTTTTTTTTTTTTTTTTGCCCCTCCCTTTTCACCATCCCCCCGGAGGCAGATGATAAATTCCTTTTGGTTCCCCAGGTTTCGGGGGTGGACCTTCCCCCCTTCCGGCAGGAACAGGGGACTTTTCGCTTCCCGTTGGTCCCCCAGTTGTTTTTCTTGGGTGGGGCCCCCCAAGCCCTTCAACCCTTGGGATTGCAGCCGGTGTCCCAGTTTTTTTGAATTTTCGGGGGGTTTCCGTTGCCCAAGAGACAAAAAGAGGGAAGGCACTTGTTTCCCGGGAGAGCGGGCCTTTGAAAACTCCGGGGGGATTACGGGGGTTTTTTCATTTTTGGTGGGGGGGGGGGGGGGGGGGGGGGGGGGCGTGAAAACAACGTCATTTCTCGGCGTTGCGACGCTATCTATTAATAGTCTAGACGTTACAACACTTTTCTTGGCCAGGCTACTGAATTCTGCGGGTGAGCCATCACCGACGACGTCATCATCAACATCAACCTCAACCTCAACCTCGAGTCCCAACAACAATGACGACGACGACCACCACTACCATGGCGGTGGAGACGACTTACGAATACGACGGCAACCAACACCAACAACAACGACAACCACAACAACAACAGTGACGATCACTACCATCACGACGATGACGACAACAATGACGACAACGACGACGATGACGACAACGATGACGACAACGACAACGACAACGATGACGACAACGACGACGACAACGACGACGATGACGACAACGATGACGACAACGACAACGACAACGACAACGACAACGACAACGACAACGACAACGACGACGACAACGACGACGATGACGACAACGATGACGACAACGACGACGATGACGACAACAATGACGACAACGACGACAACAACGACGACGATGACGACAACGATGACGACAACGACGACGACAACGGCAACGACAACGACAACGACAACGACGACGACAACGACAACGACGACGACAACGACGACGACAACTACAACGATGACGACAACGACAACAACCAATACAGATAGCGCCCGCGTATAAGAAAGTCAATTTTGGGGTCGAGGCTTTTTCGTCACCATTACTGTCGAGCGTAGCTCATGATACGGAGCTCATTGTGGGATCCGCGTCTGAGGTGTGTTCATTGGTCGATTCTTCTTCTCATATACCCCCACAATCTGAGCCTTTGTTTCTTAATCGCGGGCGCTAACTGTGCACACGCCTATCCATACCTGTCTTCGCCGCCACCACGGGGTCCTTCCACTTCTTAATCACCGCCACTCGTCGAGGGGGGCCATCCCAGAACAGACGGGCGCTTCTCCCCGACCTTCGTTTCATTACGGTTCATTTCGACGGTTTTGTCGACGGGTGACAGGGCCATCAACAAACAGAACACGGAGAGACAAAATGGCTTGGGCCAAACCAAAGAAGAAGTACCAACGAAAAGAAACAATGATCGATACATGCACACAAGGTTCAAACGCAAAACACGCAACGAGACTTACGAAAAACAAAAACTAAGAGTGCAGGTGGAGAGGCCAGCAGTGGTAGAAGACGGTCCATGTGCCCACGACAAAGCGATGTACCGTAAGTTGCATACAACATTACCACAACGCCCTGGACCGATTTCAAAGCTTGCTTGCTCTACAGCAATATTCAGCGACGGCGCCGAAAACGGCGGCATTGGAACCAAAAACAGCAGTGTTGGTTTGGTTTGGCCTCGAAAATCGGCCCAAGGCAAGGGTATGGTATCTTAC